TCCTTCCTTCCTTCCTTCCTTCCTTCCTTCCTTCCTTCCTTCTTTCCTGTAGATTAGAAATTATTCCACATTCTTAGAAATGTCTAGGTCAGGTGTTATATTTATTTCAAGGATAGAAAGATTATGTTCAATCAGGGGTTGAAGAGTTAGTCAGAAAATGCTCTTTTTTTAATTATTTTTTTTTTTTTACCATTTGTTTATTTTTGAAAGAGAGAGAGAGACAGAGTGCAAGTGGGGTAGGGGCAGAAACAGAGGGAGACACAGAATCTGAAGTTGGCTTAGGCTCTCAGCTGTCAGCACAGAGCCCAGTGCGGGGCTAGAACCCATAAACTGTGAGATCATGGCCCGAGACGAAGTTGGACGCTCAACTGACTGAGCCACGCAGGCGCTCCATTTAATTTTTTAAATTTATTTTTATTTTTTGAGAGCGAGAGAGCGTGCACACATGTGTGAGCACAAATGGGGGAGGGGCAGAGAGAGAGGGAGGGAGAGAATGCCAAGCAGGCTCCATGTGGGGTAGGGCTCGATCTCAGGGTCATGAGATCATGCCCTGAGCAAAATCAAGAGTCGAAGCTTAACTGACTGAGCCACCCAGGCGCCCCTAGTCAGAGAATGTGCTGTGGGAAAGAGGGCCTTTGAGTTCATCCTTGTAAAACATGTAAGAGATGGAAAGAAGAGAATTCAAGGCAGAAAAACTGTATGATTACTGATATGAAGAAAGGCCAGTGTGGGATGTGTAAGGAACCACTCCTTCTTGTCAGACTAGAGGACACTGGAGAAGACTGGTGGGAAACCATGGCATGGAGAACCACAAAGACCAAAAAGCTAAACAAGTTAGGCTAGAATCTTTTTTTTTTTTAATTTTTTTTATGTTTATTTATTTTTGAGAGAGAAATAGACAGACTCGACCAGGGGAGGAGCAGAGAGAGGGAGACACAGAATTCGAAGCAGGCTCCAGGCTGTGAACTGTCAGCACAGAGCCCAATGCGGGGCTCAAACCCACGAACTGTGAGATCATGACCTGAGCCAAAGTCAATGCTTAACCAACTAAGACTCAAGAGCCCCAATTTGGGCTAGATTCTATTAGTGCTGGGGAACAACTGAAGGTTTGGAGACAGAGGGTTTGTCTGAATCGAGCCGGGCTTCTGGAAGATTATCTTGGTTTGGTGGGTATCATGGAAAGCCTGAACTAAAGAAAAGGCAGGGGGCATAGAAATGAGAGATTCATCAAAAGTGACAAAATGTAGGATGAATGGGGCTTTACTGTTTATTAGATATGGACTACAAGGAAGAGGAAGGAAGGAAAGGTGTCAGTGACATTTTGATACTTGGTAGTGGGGAGGATGACACTATCATTAATAGAAACAATAATGAAGGAGGAACAAGTGTGACAGGGATGATGGTTATACTTCCTTCAGGCTAGAGTGTCTGTTGTAGGGTAAATTTTCAATAATAGAAGTTTACTGATCTCCAACTGTGCTGCTGAAGGTAACACTGCCTTTGTTTTCTCACAGACAATAACACTAGATCTTAGAAGGGCATGCCTAATTGTACATTTTAATTGTAAATAATACTTTGTTCTCAATAGAGCAAAGCATAATTATGATACGAGAGTCTCTCTACACTGTGAGGGTTGAGAAGGGAAGATAAACTTCAATAAGTTGAGTTGAGGAAACTGAGTCTCCAAGAGGCTAAAGGACTCATTATTCAGGTCTCATGTTCAGTTAGTGGCAGAACAAAGACTAGAAGCAGTTCTCCTGAAGGCCAGTAGTGGATTGAGTTTCTTATTGGAGGGGAGAAGGCAAGAACAAGGCCTTGGAAAGTTGAGCTGTGGTGACCATTCTATGCTCATACTTCCAGTGTTTTGGTGGGTTTAATGTGGGAGGAAGAAGGCTATGTTCCCTTGTCTGCCAGTTGTGATTTATAGGATATAGCATTCTCTTTAATATAAAATAGAAACTTTTGTCAAGTAATTGTTTACTGATATCCCTGTTCTTTTACTTGTTTTCTTTCATTATTTCTACTTCACAAGAATTAAAACAACACAGTTATATAACTTACTACATCCACCTAGTACTAGCTTTCTCTTAGACAGAACCATGTTAAGTGGAGGATAAAGATCTTTTCAGACTTCAGTTAAGCAAACATAAACTCTCTGCTTTTCCACATCCATTTCCAGAACTGTCCTATAAAACCTCTCCATTCTCCATCTGACTGCCAGCTAGATATATATTGATGCTCAAGGCAATATTGAGAGCCATGTTGCTGAAGAGTCTCTGAGCCTGGATCCTTGAATGACTATGTGGAGAGGAACCCTCCTGTAGATTGGATGTTAAATGAGCAAGAAATAAATCTTCATTATGTTAAGGCACTGAAATTATAGGGCTTATTTATTTCAGCAGCTATCATAACCTTAGTTAGAACAGAGGATCTCTCTGTTATAGCTGGAGTGAATCGGACATTGTTTGACTATTTTCTGGTATTAAAAAATGCCATAGAAAAGTTTAAAGACAATATCATTTGTCCTCTCTGATTTGTGACTTCCTTATTACATTTATTTAAAGTTAAACTCAGCCACCCCAGAAATGATAATGCTGTTGGCAATGCCTCATTCAATATGTTAATCATGAGAATACAGAATAAGTCCTTTGAAATTGGCTATATCATATAAACATGCAGAATGTTTTTTAAAGGTGAGATAAAGAGATATCTATAAATAAAACACCTATGTCTCCCTTTCTAGAATTTCTTTTCATCCCTGAAAATGCAAAGCAGACCAGCCACCAATATATAGACTTTTGTAGAGAGGCAACATGGATACTGTCAAGATAAACCAGTTCTGTTAATGTGATTTCATGTCCTCTGGAAAAAAATGTGTGTGTGTGTGTGTATATATATATACATATATATATATATATATATATATATATATATATATATATTGCTAACCTCCTAAAAGCTTAGAATCAAGTCATTTCTGATTTTATCCATGTATTTTAGTAGGCTACAGTGAAACTCAAAACCTTACAGAGAAATAAACCTTATTTCAGATTGAAGGAATTTCAGCGGTTGAGGAAAGTTCAAGCCAGATCCACTGCAGTTTAAATCCAATTTTTTTTTCTTTGAGTAGAATATATTATCAAGAATAAATGTGCTTCAAACCAGTTCTTAGGTATTATGTTGCTTATAGAGTCCAAGGTGTATAGAAGGTGTATAGAAGCTAAAAGCGCCTCCTTAAAAATAATTCAGTTACTCTTGTCGCCTCAAGGTAATCATTGTTGCACTGTATGCTAACTAATTTGGATGTTAATTAAAAAAATGATATTGAAAAACAAAGATAAAGTGTGAACTTGTAAACATGATGTATACGTCCTTCTTGTTCAGGCCCCTGTTTACCTCTCTACTGTGTGCTCTGACCACTGCAGCTTCCATTCCGTGCACCGACCACTCTGAGTCCCTTCCCCTTCCTCAGTGTGCGTGTGGTGCTGTCTTTACCTCCAGCCTTCACACATACGGTTCCCACTGCCAAGTACCCACCTCCCCCCTACCAACTCCTTTTCCTTAGCTTACTTCTATTCAGTCCTGAAGTCTCTGGTTAGATGTCATTTCTGCCCTGTAGCCTATCCTGAATGCTCTCCGTGGGCAGGTTAGGTGAGCTTCCTGTCTCTGCCATCAGTACTTTATCAGAACACTCCACACATGATTGTATGACTGAAGTTCAGTGGTTGGTGTCCTTTATACTGCAGTCTCTGTAAGTTTCGGGTGGCTTGTTTAATGACATGAAATCTAGCGCCTAACCTAATGCATGAAGCATAGTAGGCGGGACGCTATATTAAATGAACGTTGCTGAATCTAGAATAGCTCTCATCTGGAGTTCTAGTCAACCACAACACATAGAAGATGATGCTACTGACCCACCAACCAAAGGACACTTATCTGGAACAATCTGATTCTCCAGGATCACTCGAGGCCAAAAGAACTGAAGTGGTAAAAGCGTTAAGCATAAAGCATGGTTTTCCTTTGTACAGTAAATAACTATCTTCAGTGGCCAAATTCATGCCCCTTAGCTCATTATTCTTAAGTTCTAACTGAAGTAGGGTTATAGAGACTGACTCTGTAAATGATCCCAAAGGGTATAAACAAAATTCAAAAAACAAACCTTTCTCTGATTTTGATCATTTAAGCTTGCAAATCTGTTCCTCGTAATCCGGAAATGCAGGAAAAACAACCCAGCAGCAGCAGACCAGACCCTGCTCCTCTGCCCATCACTGTTCAGCAGCTCACCCACTGATTTGGAAATTCCTCTTTGAACTAACATTTGATTTGCTCCAGAGTATCTCTGAGCTTGTACACTTTGCCCTCTCTCAACGGTTGTTCTTGACATTAATCTCCCTGTCCCCCATCTTCACCGCGGTCTTGTATTTCTAATCATCATCTTCCACTATCACCTTCTTGCCTCAAGCTTCACTTTTGCCTTATTAAAGTCAGTGTCAAACCAAGCTGTCTTCCACATAGCCTGGTCTGAGGTGCTGCCAGTCCCACTGCCATTATCGATGCTCCTGGCTGGCTCTAGGCCCCCGCGTTTGGTTCTAAATCCAGGAGGATTTAGGGCATACAAGTATGGGAGAGGGCTCAGTGGTGAGAGGAAATGCTTACCTATTACTGTTTCTCTGGCACACAAGAAATAGCTGAACCAGAGAGGCTTTAAGAAAATGGCAGCGTGGCAGGTGGAATTCCTCTACGGTCACAGACTGATGTAGAAACAGAGAAGCCCTCAGGTCTACAACATAGCACCCTCGGTTCACCAGTGCATTCTCTGCCGTAGGACTGGATGAAGGCTTTTGCAAGGGGCGTTTGCTGGGGTCAGCCTACCACAAAGAATTGTTGAGAGTCTTCCGGACAATAGAGGGAATTTTTCAACCAAAAGCGCGGATGCTTCCGGTTTATTTACACTAATGTTAAACACGCAAATGCCCAGCAACCTGTGGCTACTTCCTTACCTTGTGTAACTGATAATACTGGAAGGCACCGATTCCACCTTGTTCCTCTGCAGTCCAGAGCACCAAACGCAGAGTCCTCTTTGGTCGCAACCCTGGGAAAAATAATAAAATAAAACAAGTGATCCTTCAGGTGATTTAAAATTTTTTCAAAATGGCAAGGCCCCTCATCTGCATTCTGGAGACAGGAGGAACTCAGAGGTACGCATATTCATCTCTTGCTGAGGTGGCTGCCTGATTTAGAGTGTGGCTGACACAGCAAAGAAGCGCCCTCAGGGCTGATCTCCAGGGCAGGCTAATGGAGAAAGGGGTTGTACAAGTGCTGCCTGCAGGCCAGAAGTGAGAGCTTCTAATCATATCCTGAATGGACAACCTGCCCAGCAGGACCCAGTGGAAGGCCAAGGTCAGTGGAATGTTAGATTGCATAGAGAAGATGCAGTCAGCAGGACTCTAGGCAGATCAGGGAGTCTTCCAATGACTAACTGAAACCCAATCATTTGGCTCTGCTTCAAGATCAGGTGCGAAGGGGGTTGCCCCTTAGTCTAAATCCACAAGCTGTCCGTGCTATTCTCAGTGACATGATGGCTGCAGAGCAGATACCGTGTTAATGGTTACCCACGGTCATTTTCCTTTACTATTTGGAAATACAAGGTCATTCGCTTCAGGTCAATGAAAATGAATTGCATGCAGATGACATTTTATTTACCTTATTGCTTCACAAACAGCTCGGTGACAATTTCATCGACTTGGGAAATACAAATTTCTGTCTTGGAGTTATTAAAGATCTGGCACATCTAGGACCATTTTTCAGTGACAGTGTCTGCTCAGTAAAAGTTAACTACAAGGATATCTGTTTTCCAAACTTAAAAAAATGGGAACACAATATGCTAAAAGTCTCATTTTGTGACCAAGAATTAAAACCTGTTCCGATTTGGACCTTCTAATATCATTTGAGAGAAATAACCGTGACAGAACAACAAGAAGCTGGGCTTGACTCTTTTTTTTTTTTTTTAAATTTTTTTTTTCAACGTTTATTTATTTTTGGGACAGAGAGAGACAGAGCATGAACGGGGGAGGGGCAGAGAGAGAGAGAGGGAGACACAGAATCGGAAACAGGCTCCAGGCTCTGAGCCATCAGCCCAGAGCCCGACGCGGGGCTTGAACTCCCGGACCGCGATATCGTGACCTGGCTGAAGTCGGACGCCCAACCGAGGGCGCCACCCAGGCGCCCCGTGGGCTTGACTCTTATTAAGAGGATCTATGCACCTGCCTCACCACAGGGGAGCCACAGGGAAGGACTTGGAGGGGCAGTGAGACGGGCACGCTACAAATCTCCAGTGTAACCACACAAGTGCTGCCACCCAGGCATGTGGCCTTCAAGGGAACAGCCTGGCCAGCTGCAGCCAGGATGATAAATGCTCCTGGGGAAGGGAGCCAGGACCCGCCTCCTCCTGGCCCCAACAAGTATTCTCCTTTCATAAGCCTAGTGCTAAGGAGTGAATGGGTGCTACATTTTCCACTAAGTTGAATATTGTTGTGAAGCCACTTTACACTTGAGCATTTTAACATAATTAAAAGAATACAGGTTTAGCATGTAGGCTGACCTGAGTTCCCATTAAAGCCTGGGCGAGCAGTGTCTATATTCAATTGCTCAGAAAATGCCACTGCTGCGTTCTTCTAAGTCCATCGAGAGCCCAGCTTCTCACCTCTGCTAGCATGGCGGTCAGAGCCCCACCCTCTTCTGCCCAAGCTACTCCTCCTGCAGCCAGACGGCCCCTGTAAAACTGAAACTGGGTCATGTCATTTCTCTGCTCAAAACCTCCAACAGCCAGAATATAAGCTTCTGGAAGACAAGGTTAAGCTTGTTGATTCACTGTGATGCCCTCTGTGCCCAACCTGCTTGGCACACCTTGGGTACCCAATAAATTGGTAAGGAACGGATAAATGAATCCAAACCCTGGGGTGTCACTTAGAATAAAATTCAAAGCCTTCCACCACTTTCTCAGCCTCATCTCCTAAAACTCTCCAGCTAGCTCACTCTCAGGCAAGCTGTTACAGTTGAAAACGGCAGGCAGAGCTGGTGAACCCTGCTATCATTAGGCACTAGCTGTGTGCAACCACTGGGAAATCGATCTACCTGAACTTCAGCAACCTTATCTGAAAAGTGGAGAGAATACTATATGCCTATCCCATAACTCTTTCATGGGATGGTTGTGAGGATGAAATGAAATGTGATAATGTATGGAAGACAATTCTGTGCTTGGCATGTGGCAGACATTTAATAAATGAACTATGAAACTTCATAATGTGTATCTAGGCACAGAATGCACACTTGTACCCTTAGAGAGAAGGGGCATCTAAATACTCAGACAGCAAGTTCTTTCAAAGGCATTCAGGTGCCTGCTGACAAGGAATCCTGAAGTGCCCACTGCCTGTTCCAGAGTTAAATTAGCCTCTCAGATTCAAAGCACAAATGTCAACCATTGCGGGAAGAAGTCTAACTGGTATATCTAAAGATCACCACCTTTGGTTTTGCTAAAAGAAATGTGCTTGATGTCACTTTATTTTATTTTTATTTTTTCAACGTTTTTTATTTATTTTTGGGACAGAGAGAGACAGAGCATGAACGGGGGAGGGGCAGAGAGAGAGGGAGACACAGAATCGGAAACAGGCTCCAGGCTCTGGGCCATCAGCCCAGAGCCTGACGCGGGGCTCGAACTCACGGACCGCGAGATCGTGACCTGGCTGAAGTCGGACGCTTAACCGACTGCACCACCCAGGAGCCCCTGCTTGATGTCACTTTAAATCAAATGACACTTTGCTTGCAACATAGAAAAAATAGGAGAGGATAAAGTACTACAAGTAAAAATTCTGAACATTTGTTAATCCATAAAAAGGAAAAAAAAATATTTTCTTTTCACATTATCTCTGCACCTACCAGCAAAACAGTACCAAATTACTAAAATGATGGAATTCTCTAAATAAGGATAAAAGGACAGTTAGCACAGGTTAGAAAAAATCGTTTTTCTGAATGCTAAGTGCTTTTTTCTGAATATCCCTATAGACTTGGTGTTCCACCTGAAAGTCATTATTGTACGGTATTAGTCTCCTTCCCATTTCAAATCGGCCAGATGGCCAATGATATTATATTAAGATAATAAAGAAGTAATCAGTTGAAATGAGGAATGCTAGGGTCTCCAAACAACAGGAGCATAGCTGTTGATGTAAAGCTGGCTCTAAAAAGACACACGGAGCCTCATTCAAGCCCCTGAGAAAGCAGCTCAGTTCCCATCAGCACGGAACACGAGGGCCTGCCCTGTGTTCAAAGCGAAGGGCCAGACAGAAGAGGTTAGGAAAGCAGTGGTAAGCACATGGCCTGACTGAGCTCCAAAGTCTCTACTCTGATATTCTGGCTGTCTCTAAACCTAAGACAAATGCGTGACTTCATTCAATGACTGGACTCTGCTCCTAGTGTGGGGTTTGGACCCCCAAGCCACCCAAGTCCGCAGACGGGGAATGCGGGGCCTGGAAAGAGGCTGGCCATGAATCTGAGTAAGTATCGTTTGAGTCCCTGCCCTTCTACTTTCGTCTCCATGACTTCAGACTAGTTACCTGATCTCTCTGGGCCTCAGTTTCTTCATCTGTACAGTAAGGAAAATGGTCATTGCCTCATAGGATTGTTAAGAAAATTGAATGAGACGAGGAAAATATGTATCAAGCATGGTCCCTGGCACATAGTAGGTCTTCAAGAATTGTTAGTTAGCTTCTTTCTATATGATTGCCCACAACTTCTTAGTCTGGGCCAGTAATCACCAGGGAGATCTTGTGGGAAAGCCAGGAAAGAGGCACAGTCCTCATTCCTCATCCTTAGGAACCAGAGAATATCTCTGTTTATTCAGAGTGTGTACTCAGCCAGTGGAAAAACCTCATCTAACTTGTAGAAAAATGCATACCCTCTTTCAGTGTGGAATGCTTCCTCAACACAACATAGAGCATATCCAAATCTAAGTAAAGACAGGAATGGGTTCCTCACTTCTTAGAAGTAAGGGTCAACCGGAATTCTTAGTTTCTGAATAAAGTCAAAGAACCGGAAAAATATGAAAACTGAATAAAGCTGATATAAGAATATCTGTTTATCATTTTTCTTTTTCTTTTTTTAAATTAATTTTTATTTTTTTTAAATTTAAATTTAAGTTAATTAACATACAGTGTAGTCTTGGCTTCAGGAGTAGAACCCAGTGTTTCATCTCTTACATAAGACACTCAGTGCTCATCCAACAAGTGCCCTCCTTAATGCCCGTCACCCATTTAACCCATCCCCCTCACCCACCTCCCTTCCAGCAGCCCTCAGTTTGTTCTCTGAATTTAAGAGTCTCTTATGGTTTGCCTCCCTCTCTGTTTTTTATTTTACTTTTCCTTCCTTGTGCATCTCAAATCCAAACTAGATTTAAAAGCTAAGAAAGAATTCTAAGTATATAAAATAACCACAACAACAATAATAAAGCAAGATCACCCATAGCAAGACAACATAGTGATATGAACTGGTATGTAGGGGTATGATTTTGTAGAGATGGGGTAAACAAATAGCTCAATATCATCCTGACTCACAGCCCTGGCCCTGGCAGAGCACTGGCCCCAGGCAAGCACGGGAAAGAAAGTCTTACAAATGGAGGTGAGTGGTAGGACTCTGGTCTCAGCGGTCTAGGAGTCAGGTGTCATTGAGGTTTTGTCAGAAGACAGACAACTCATTCCCCTTTGGATGTACAGAAACTTCTCAGAGATTTCTTACCCTCCTGGAATTTCTGTTAAGAACTCCAGATAGCATAGCACACATTTTACAGCATATGGTTTCCCTCTTAAAAAAACATAAAGTGCTGATATTGTGTCAGAATGTTGTCTTGTTTATGAAATATGATATACATGCATTTTCACTTTAATTTTTACTGAGGAAAATAATAATGCAAATGGGAAAATAGTACCTAGGAGAAAAGGTAAAAACCATCTGGTGGACTTTGTTTTTCATTCTTATCAAACCTGAAGATGAGAAGGCTGAGAGGTGACTTTCATTAAACTGATCAGTTGAAAGGTCAGTTGA